CGGCCCAGTGCCGGCCACCCATAGGTGGCCGACAGTGTCCTGTGCGCGGGCACAGTAAAGAGAGCCTATAAATAGGCCAAGGGTTGTTCATTTTCAAAGGTTGGATTCATTTGAAAGGGTTGGAACTTTGAGAGCCGAAACTCTGCCGAATTGAAGATCGAGCTTGGAGTTTTGAAGACTTGAGGACTTGAAGATTCAGATCTGATTCTCGGTGAACGTCCACATCACAAAAGGCAGGATTTCGAGAGAGGTAAAGATCAGATCTGAGATCTACACGAGATTACACTCCGGATCAAAGCTTGGCCTTTGATCCCGAGATTTGGACGATTATTTCCTTGGTGAACTAATCCTCCCCGGCTATTATTCCCTTTGCGGAATAATACCCGTTAAATCGTGTAGATCCGACCGGATCTAGATCGCGCGGTGGTCCACGGATTAACCCCGGCGTCGGCAAAGAACCCACACAAGCAAGAGACCGCAAAACAGGATCTTGCGATTCGTTCGACAAATAAGGAGAAAGTTGTAATTTTCTTTATTTCTTGTGTTATTTGATTTTCGTTGTAACCGGATCTAAAAAAAGACCGGATCTTTGTAATCGATAAACTATTACAAGAATTTGCAATGGAATCAATGATGAAGAAAACAACGATTTTCACCGCGAACAGCACCCACACTAGGGATATGATATCTAATGCATGCAAAAAACCATGCCCAATTCTCTGTGTTTTCAATATCAACCACTGCAAACGCCAAAGGAAACAAACCGCCATCCGCATCAACTCCGGTGGCAACAAGCAAAATGCCTTTGTACTTGCCGTATAAGTGGGTGTCATCAATGCTAAGAAGAGGACGACAATATCGAAACCCCTCAATACATGGCCCAAATGCCCAAAATACACTGGTGAACCGCCGATCTCCGCCATCAACGGGGTCCGAAGATACTTCGTAGACAGTTCCTGGATTTTCTCTTTTGAGTGCTTTCCCAATCCCCGAATATTTTTATCATCGCCTTCCTCCTAGCATTCCAACACTTGTGATATGATACATCCAAGTTGGTAGCTTTTTGCACTAGAAGACGAATATCTTTCGGCCTTAGATCAAGATCCTCCCTCAGATGCGGTAAAATCAATCGATATATGAAGGAAGAGGATGCATTCTTGTTATTCATCTCTAATCGAGGATTGCTATAAGTGTGGAGTCCGTTGTATGCCGTGATTTTGAATTGCCCGCCTACTCTTACACCGGAGCATGAATTAAGCTTCCACGGACATTTCGCATTGCCGTCGTGGTGTCCACCAATATCTTCATCATCGCCATCTTTGCGATAGAAACAAACCGCATTATAGCTTGTAGTATTATTTTTTTGTTGGCCTAAACTTGACATTTTTTACAATGGCGTACGAGCGAAGCGCATGGATCAATTTCTCCTTGCTCTCATATAGATCTCCCTTCACGAATGAGAAGTCCTCGCCCTGTGTATCATGACCGCTATTAGTGCCAATAGGAACACTTTCCATCACGGAGTTATCGATCCATTCTTCTCCTTGAAGTTCATCGGGCGGCGGATCCTCTAAGACAACATACTCATTATTAGCATAACACCCGTCAATGTGGTGGTTGTCCCCTTCATCACGATCTATCAAGGTCATGCTATCAATTTGTAAGCCCTCCTCTTCATCATCATTCTCAGATTCAACACTTGCATTATCTTCTTGAACTCCCGTGTTAGTATCGACCGCATTCGAAGTGCCCACAAGCGAAGGACCGCTCATATATTGTGATTGAGTCCAACCTTCATCTTGTTGAGGAGATAAAAAACCAACGGAATCAACATCAGGGTCTTCCAACATGCGGGAATACATTCCATCATAATTCAACGATTTGCCCAAATTCCTTTGATGTTTTTCAATGAACAATTCAATCGAACGCTTCTCGTCATGTAAGACTCCAATTAGACTCATATCGTAGTCACTTGATATTTGAATGCCGCTTGTCCTGTTCTCCACGACAGGATAATTGCAAATAACATTAAGGTGATACTCACGTGAGTTGGTTAATGTAAGTTTGTGCAATTCATTAACCAACTCATCGAAAGTACACGATTTTGTTATAAACAATGGTCTCGTCGTACCTCCTTCATAAACGGGCATATTATTTTCGAGGTATTTAATCTTCCCATCATACGAACACAAAATTACGATTCGATCGTTCATCATTACCTCTGAAGAGTAAAACAATCAAGATCAATATTACACGAAAAGACTCTAAAAATTTTTTGTTACTTAAAATTAAATCCTATATCAATTTTAGGGAACCATAATTTATAACAAATTCATATACCGATTCATATACCGATGTCATACATATGTACCAACACTATTTTTTACATTATTGATAATTTACCCTCTAACTCGACAAAATGATTTAAGTTTTCTTCACATATTTCATAAAATTCACAATTAAATTCTCAAATCTAATTGATGTCATATAGCACTAATTTTTAGATTTTTTAATTGATGTCATATAGCACTAATTTCATAACTTATTCACACATTCTCTTCTCTTTTGTAATCAGGAAATTCAATTGTAACTGAGATTAAAGGAATACAAATTAATTTTTCTTTTATTTCTTTTACTGCAAAATTTTCCACCAAACAGAGGAGCTATATTGGGTTGTATTTGAACTTATTTTGTTAAAATTTGTAAATTGTATGAATTTTCAAATACTATACTTTTATGGATCAATTATAGCTCAATATGTAATCTTTTTGCGTATTGTTTGATTCGTATGTGTTTAAATAATATATATATTGTAGTAATTATTGTCAACAGGTAAATAGCTGTATATATGAGTTAAATAGGTAGACGTATGCATGCTGTACATGTTTTTGCAAAACCTACAACTTCACGGGAGTTGAACTCCCGTGAAGTTGTAGTGTAAATTTCCCAGGGAGCGATTCTCTGGGAAATTTGGCCTGTAACTCCACGGGAGTTCAACTCCCGTGGAGTTTTAACAATAGAACAAACTCCACGGGAGTTGAACTCCCGTGGAGTTTATTGATGGAAATAAACTTCACGGGAGTTCAACTCCCGTGAAGTTTAAAAGTATGCTAAACTTCACGGGAGTTGAACTCCCGTGAAGTTTCGTAAAGTTTTTTAGAAAAACCGACCTGGTTTCAGCGACAGTGCTGAAACCAGGTCGGTTTTTCTAAATAACTTAGAAACAGGTCGTTTTTTGCAATTAAAACATCAAATGGGTTGGTTTTGAAAATTTGTCCTTTCAATATTTTTCTCCAAGATCCGAACACGTGCAGCCTCAAACCCTTTAAAAATGAACCCACGTGATCTCACGGAGTTGTAACTCTACTTCAACCTCCCACTTACTTCGCTCCCTCTCGAGTCCCGTCCTCCGCCTCCAGAGAACCCCAGACCCCCC